CAATAAGCTTCCTTTGGTGACTGTATTATGTTTGTGTTTAATTTGTGGCAGGGAAACCTAATGAGAAACTATTAATCATTGAGTGTATATAAAAATTTGTGTCCTTAACTAAATAGACCAAAGAGGATATGGCAAGCCCATTATTGGCATGACATGATTTAGAGTTGGGAAAGGGACTTGAGAAAAATCATCTAGTCTAACCCAATTTTATGGATGATATTCAGAATCAGAAGGGGAAGCATAAAGGTTTGGCGGCTGCAAACATCATGGGACCAGAAGTTAAGGGAATATAAAGTTTTAAACCTGAACTTGGCACTAAGGAATTACCGCACAGACTGACTCAACTTCCTCATTCATTCCTGGTTTTCAACTGTGATGTGTAGAATCCATGGACCAAGGAGTTGTTTTAAGGGGCTTCTTGGGAGAAAGGAAAGGGAGTCACCCATTCAATCAGAGCTGCCCCACTTGGGTCTATTTTATGTTGAATGAATGAAAAAATAACTCATTGACTTTTTTTTTTCTTTTTTAAGTTTGAAGTTTACTGATGTCTTTTTCTCAAGTCTTAGAATCACAGATGGACTAAGAGGGAGAACTACAAGGGCAGTGTGGTAATGACTTTGGAAATTTACATCCAGGGGCCTTGGGAGCACCTGGGAGGGGGAACCGCCCTTCTGGATATGGGAAGTGGAAGGAGTTTAGAGTTGACTTCCCAGAAGAAATAACAGACAGGAGGCCTTCCTTTTAATATTCTTTACTTTCTTTTCTATCTACCTTTAATAAAAGCTACGTCTTTTATGAGATGAGAAAAAATGAGAAATCAGAGTTCTAAGATGGGTTAAAGAGAACTCTTGTCTTGTTGGACTGTACTCCTAGGCAAACTGCTTAATCTCTATGAACCTCCCTTTCTACGTCTGGTTGTTCAGGACTAGTAATGACAGAAGTACCTCAAAGCATTGTCACCAAGATTAAATTAAGTGATGAGTGTGAAAATACTAGTAAACCTATAAAGTCCTATAAAAACAGTGACTATCATTGCTAACACTCTGCTGAAAGATTTAACTCCAGTGACTTTCCATGATCTTTCCCAAACAAACCAAGACTGTGGTCCTACACAGGTTTGGCTCATGTTGGGCATCTGGGGAAAATATTATTTTACAGTGTAAATAATAATAATAACAATAACAATTGTGAAGTCTTCTTTAAAAAGCAGATTCTCTTTAGCTTCTCCTCTCCCTTGACTTTCTAATTCAAATCTCACTCACTTAAGGGCCTGGAGAGTTCTCTCCAAAATTAGATTCACACCCATGCTTAAATTCTGTGACTCCCTACTTCCCAGAAGTAGTTCAAGGTCTTTAATTGGGTGTTTGGGGGCTCTCCTTGCCTATTCTCCAGCATGTACCCCTACTTCGCCCGGCCACATAGCACTGTGTCTGCTGTGTGCAGGCACCATGCTAGACACTGCACACACAGCAGAGAGTCAGGCCCACAGTTTTTCCTTAGCTTGCCCTCAATCTTATTGGTAGACTGACTGGTAAATAGGCCTCAGCACAGAGTTCCCACAATTCTCTGTGAGATCCTCCTATGGTCCATGGCCTGAGAATGATAGGAAGTGTGTTTGTGAAAGGAACTGGAATTCAGATCAGTGGTTGCTCACAATTTGTTGAGTGAATGAATGAGTGAATGAATATGATAAAGATTAATTATAGCTAATCAATTAGAGTTAATTATAATTAATCTCTATAGTTGGATACAGTTAGATTTTGTTGTATTCATAGGATTTTTAAAAAAAAAAAACTTTTATTTTTAGTTGTAGATGGACACAATACCTTTATTTTATTTATTTTTATGTGGTGCTCAGGATCGAACCCAGTGCCTCATACGTGTGAGGCAAGTGCTCTGCCACTGGGCCATAATCCATACCCATCTTCATATGATTTTAAAATAAAGCCTAGTCAGATAAAAATCCAACTCACCAGAATTCCTAGAGGTTTTTTTCATGGGTGTATGCATGTCTGTGTGAGCTAATTTTACACTCACACGTTCATAATTTAAGGAGGAAAAACTTTAAGACAAAAAGAAAGACCAACAACCAGCAGTAGTACTTCACCTCCTGCTCTCTCTAGCTGGTCCACCCTTACACCCTGGGATCAAGTCTGGTCCTGTTCATTATATTAAGATTCTATAATTTCTCATTGTAGAACGGACACTCCTTACAGGTGATCGTAAAATGCATGCTATTTGAAAAAGGAATGAGAAAAATCCCTCCTGACATTAAAAATTAAAATAGAAAATATTCAATAAAGGCTAAAATGTCTTCATAATCCATTTTCTTGCTCAATAAATTCAATTTTATCAGAATTCTCTCATTTTAAGTGCTGAAGTTGAAATCTAACTCTCCTGTACTGTATTAGGAAAAGCAATTGTTTATTATCCATCATGATCTCTCATACTTCAAACCAAATAATGAGGATGCTCCCTTTCTGGATGGTTTAGATTCCATTGTTTCTTGTTATACCAGCATTTTTTTTCCACCAAAGGAAAGGACATGTCTACAGTATAGTCATAGAATGTTCAGAGAAAAATCTTGGCAGATTTTCCAAAAGGAACAGCAATTGTTCCATGTGTTTGTTTGTTTGTTTGTGGGTTTTTTTATTCTGGAATCCCAATATTAATGATTCCCTGGCTCTGGGTCCCCCACCCCAAGGAGCTTTAAATGAAATAGAGCATATAGAGGTTTATTCATAATTTATGGATCTTTCACTTATTTGGTGTTTCTATGAAGAAAAACAAATGTTTTTAAACTTAAGAATCTTACCTATAAAGTAGGATGGGTGGGGGTGGACAGAAACACATTGAGTAAGCTCAGGTTGCTCCCAGGACATTATTGCTATCATTTTTCCAAAAAAGAGAAAGTGGTGCTTAAAAGAAATAATTCACAATATTTTCTCTAGACTAAAACCTTGTAATTCAGATGAACTCTGAACTGACTGAGACTCTTTGCATCTCATTTTCTCATTAGGTTTTATTACAGCCAACAAAACTTTCAGTGGTGAATTACTTCCCCTCTCAATGAACACCAGACTCCCATAATGTTTGCACAAACTGAAATCATGAAAAGGTGTTTAACCAAACTTTAGGGATTAGAGGGGGGAAAGAAGGGAAACCAATATCATCTCATCTCTGTGCTGATGAAAGTGTGGTGTTCCAGCTCTTTTTCTTGCTTATGAAAAATAAAAAAATGAAAATGTCCCAGGGCTTGAAACTCCACTTAAAATCATCTAGATTTCTCTTTCAAGGTCCCTTGAAATATAAATCATTTCCACAAAAAGGAAAAACAAATTGGTCCTAAATTAGTGGCTCAGGTAGGACCTGATGCAGTCAATAAAGTGCTTTTAAAAACTGTCATGGTATTGAGACATGAGATCTTCTCCAGGCGTCTAAGTCAAGAGCACCAATATCAAAAATACTAGTTTTTAACACATAAGGTCAAAAAGTATTTTATTTCACATCTTTATATTATGCCAGCCATTCCAAAGAATTGCTTGATGCTTGCTACGTGCCATAGGACAGGTTCTTAATTTCAAAAAGCTTACAATTTTGTTGAGAAGCCAAAACTTAACACAGTTTTAAGAAGGACTCAAGGCAAGACATTGTATTATTAAGTGTTGAGTGCAGATACTAAATGATCCAGGAGGAAAAATGAAAGATCATGAGAGCTGAGACTGTCAAGAGAATGCATTTTCAATAAACTCTTAAAATGATGCCAAATTAGAAAATTGTTATAATTGCTGCTAATTTGTCAATTTAAGTCATTTACGTGATTCACCATTCCTTTCCAACCAGTAGCTGTTCAAAACCGCATACATGAACAGTTGAAGCTGGCAGGAGACATTTCATTACAACTCCCTTGATTTGCTAATGAGGAACAAAAACACGTATTTTCATGTTGGATAACAGACATGAGAATTGAGATTTTTCATGGAGAATTTAGTGAGCAAGAACACAAAGCTCTGGCTGTGATTTTTGGTATGAGTTTTGGTTTCTAATGAACTATTTTCTTCCTCCCAAATAAGTTTTAAGTTTGGGGAATGAATCAGTCTCAAAAAAATAATTTTTTGTTTTTTGATTATCCTATTTTCAAAATTTACTTTTCTTTTCTTTTAAGAAAAAAAAATGGACTGGCCTAGAAGTGCCGGTTATATTCTGAAGGCAATGACAATTTTTAACTCCTAAAAATGGTGTGTGGGGTGGGTGGGTGGGGGTGTTTAGCATCCTTTAAAATTGAGGCATCTGAATAGCAGCTTATCTTTTGAAATCAGGAGACTTCAAGTGTGCATTTGCATTCTTGGTCTTAAAATGCTTTTTACTTTAGAGTTTGGCAAACATCCTAGTCCCTTTGTGTTCCTTACCTTTTCAATCTTTGCATTGCAGGCAGCCTGAGTTCAATTAGATTTGTTATAACGGAGTTTAAACTGCTAAAATAGAGGCATGTCTCATCTTGTGTTTTCGGTAACTTTAGACAAGTTTAGAGAATTGTAGTAAGCATTTTTCTCTATATTTGATTGCGTTTAAGATCTCCCCAAGAAACGTCAATTATAAACCTAATTCTAAAAGGAGGCACTTCTTCCTAACAGTTGTTACTACCAGGCAAAAGAGCACACTCTCCCATTCCCATAAGAGTAGGAATCCTGCAATAATGTGAGATAATTAAATTTAGCCTTAGAAAAAGTCTTTGAAATGTACTAATCAAGACTCCAGTTTTCCCGAGAGTATGCGCGATTTATTTTTCAATTCTTCCTGGTCCTGATTTTGCATTTCTAATGCAAGTGAACTGACAAAGCGTGAAAGTGGGCTAAGGAGCAAAACAAAGCCAGCAAGCATGCTTCTGGTGTGCCAAAATTAATCAATATTCCAGAAACCTCGGGGCTCCCCCTTGGTCCCCGTGCCGTTTTCATTTCCCCTCTCCCCTTTCCCGCGCGCAGGCTCCTCCCCTTTTCTTAAGTTGCCTGATAGTAAGTTGCAGTTTCAGAGCACATGCATATTGTCAGGGCTGGCCCGCCTGGCGCGCGCCCTGCGCTCGGTCACTCCGTTGTACCTGCTGGGGAATTCACCTTGTCATTGCCTGGGGTGCCTTCCACCGCTTACAGGATCCGAGAAGGTAAGTGCGACGTCCTGTAGGCCTACTGGGTTCGATTTCTCGATCCACTTCTCCGCCGATGTATTCTGTTCACCAGGGGAGGAGTACCGAGAGGAAAAGCTGGCCATTTTGGTAGATAAAGTCCACGTTAGTGATTGAACGTGGTGTGAGCGTGGGGTGTCTATTTATGGCGGATCCTTCTCTTAATTTGGAGTTGAGTCATTCGGGGTAGACTGGGGATAGATGGTGATCAGAGATCTAAAAAAGAGCCAAGATTATTGAGCTGGTCTGCTTAAAAGTGACAGACTGGTAAAGGAAATCAGAGCTGCTAGTTCAAAAAAAGAAAAAAAAGAACTGGACCCTCCCCTCTCCGTTTCTTCACTTCTCCCTAAGCTTTTAATCTAGTGTGAAGTCTTAAACAAGCTGTAGGTCTTATTATCAATGACCCCAACCTGCAATTTTATTTAAAAGTCAAACTGTTAAGTCTTTTTTTTTTTTTCCATCCCTTGGATTTGCCAAAAGCTTGCGAGGAGTCCCCTGGCTTCCAGTCACCTCCCCCACAGACACACTCGCTGGCTGCCTGCGCTACCAGACACGCAGGTCCCCCTGCACTCCGGTTTTCATCTCAGATTGATCCTGGGGAAGGCATGACTTAGATGAGGAAACCCTTGGTTTACGCAGCAGGAGGAAACCCTCGGTTTTTCAGAACAGCTGATTTCCAGAATGAAGAAGGTTTGCTTCATTGTATTTGAATAACCTAAGAGCGCTTTAAAGGAGCCAGAAACCACACACTGTAATGTTTGGAATGAAAATTGGATTCATCTCCCCATCTGTTCCAGAAATCCTAAATTTTAAAACACTTAGAAGTCAGTGATAGTTTCCTCAGAAGACTCCAATGTGTTTGCCCCAAAGACAAATGTGACTTTGTACTTCTACTTGTAATAAAATGAAAATGGATTATGATTTTAGAAATTTTATAGAAGTGACTGGAGCACTTTGTTTATTTCATGGAGAAAAAAGTCTAAACTTTATCCTGTAAACTAGTGAAACGTATTTGTCATATCTTCTGGGCACTGGCATCCTTTCTGTGAGCATATTTACTAGGTGTTTTTATCCTTAATGAAGAAAATAGCCTGTTATTTTACTACTTAGAACAGCAACCTCAACTTTCTTCAACTGTGTATACAACATGAGTATCACTAAGTAATTATTGGGCATTTTGTGTGCGTTCAGTTCAATTGGACATTTATCAGGTGTATATATTGTGAGGCACTTGGCTAGGTTCTGAGGAGTAGGGTGTCACATCCAGTTCTGAAGAATAATATTTTGCCTCACTGAAGGAGAAGAACAAACTGAAAAAATAAAACACAATTTTCTGCCCCTATATTCTGAATTTATGCCCATTCTTCACATATGGTTTAGTCCAATAAAATACACACATTTGGAAAGGAAGCCTGGGTTGTAGCTTTCCAGGTTTTGATTTCTACCGAGATTATGCAGTTTGCTTGTAACCTACCATGTGGGCAGCACTGATATCTCACCCCTGAAGGCTATAATGCTTGTCTCTTTCTTTCCCATTGTAGTTGTGTTCTCTAAGACCAAAGAGATTTGGCTTTCTGGAGGCAATTTGGAGACCCTGAAATAGAAAGAAGAGACTCTCCTAGAAAAGTAAAATATGACGAAAAGCAATGGAGAAGAGCCCAGGATTGGGGGCAGGATGGAGAGATTCCAGCAAGGAGTCCGCAAGCGCACACTTTTGGCCAAGAAGAAAGTGCAGAACATCACAAAGGAGGATGTCAAAAATTACCTGTTTCGGAATGCTTTTGTGCTGCTCACAGTCACTGCTGTCATTGTGGGTAAGTCATTTGATAAAACAAAACAAACAAAAACCTGTATCTTGTTTCTCTGGGGCATCTGGCTGCCTGGGAACACTATCAGATGGATTGATTGTAGCTATTCAAAAGAATAGCCCAGCTTTCCTCTGAACTTGAAGATTTTTTTTCCACACAAATTAGTTTGTTGGCATCTTTGAAGCAATACATGGTAAACACGTGGGAATCTGAGAGAAGCATCCTTTACAATTATGCAAATCAGCTGATTGTATGGAGAGGAGAAAAAAAACTCCAACATCTTCCCATTTCATGTAGAAGTTAAGGAGGGACAATTTAATCGTTAGACATGAGCAGTTAAATAATAACAAAGCAAGTAAGCACATTAGATGTGGTCAAAATGTAATCATTATACAATGTCACCTTTGCTTAAAATTAATTTATACAATTAGTACACCCAAAATGAGATACAGGTCTCTGATGGTAATTATATTCTAGCTGGTATTGACTTGGAGCTGAGTATCAACACTTAAACATAGAGGCCCAATATTTTACATGTTTGCACTCTTTCACCCAGCAACTGGGAAAGGCAAATTGGAGAAAATGTTAACACAGACCTCTTTCATCCATTGCCTCAGACAGCCTGCCATAACCAGCTACATCTTTTTTGAAACATTGCAGTTTCCTACTAATTTAGCCTGGTTGACAGCAATCAGTACTAATAAAATGTTGTTTGGTTTGGTTTATTTGTATCTGAAATTTTCAGTTATTATTTATAGGTGACATTGACTTACCTTAAAACATAGCTGAAAAAATACTTATTCGAACTTTTTAACCAAACTAATATAGTAATCCTTAGGTTGGCAAACTTAAGCCAACACCAGGTTGTAAAAACTGCTCTAACATAAAATTCTACCAGTTTACCACCACAAAAGGGTGTTCATGTATAGTTTTAATCTCCACCTTGAAGCTTGCAAAGATTGCCATCAACTATTAAAAGATGATGACAATAAAAAATTAAGAAAATGCTGTAGCATGTAAACGTTATAGCTTTGTCTAAGATATGGAATTTATATAAGAAAAAGAAATGGATTTATAAATCGTAGACAAACAGAAATACAACAGGAAAGTATAGTTTGTCACAAGACTTTAGCTACATCCCATTTCAATATCTTTGGCTTCTTTCAGTAAATGTTGATTAATAAGTGCTCAATTAATTGTAATGATGTTCAAAGAGAACATGTCCTGATTCACCCAGAGAAGTAATGGGTTTCTTTAGTAGGCTACCAAATTTGAATGTATTCCTGGAAGAGACCTTTGAGGATTGTGTCCTTGTCCTGGAAGCCAGTGCAAAATGCAGCAGCCCCCCTCATTTTTCACTCTGAGTTACAGTCATTGTCAAGCCAGACAATAGCTGCAGAGTACTCATTGCAAACATTTATTTCCTACTATTCTAGCTCCTTTTTGGGTGTTTTGCAAATGTTAGTTCACTTGATCCTCAAATGAGCCCATGAAGTGAATGGGTAGGTATGAGTCTCACAATCTTCCTCATGTTACTGATGAAACCAGTCATGGAGAGTTCAAGTAGCTCACCCAAAGTCAAGGGCTACTAAATGATAGAGAAGGAAGTCGAACTCAGTCTAGTGCCAGAGGCCATTCCCTGCTTGCCTTTCTGATCAACTGACGAGCTGACATCTTGTGAAAGATGCTATAAAGACGATGCTGCCACGGGTGTAGGTGGAAGCCAATTAGCAAGCATTGCTAGATGCACTCACGTGGCAGCGTCATTTTAGGATCTGATTTACCCAGTTCAACTCAGCAGAAAGCTTACGATTCTTCTACAATTAAGCCATATCCTTCATTCATTTAATAAACTTTCATTTATTTTTCAATCCTATGTGTGTAATAATAGAGCTCAGAAGTACCAGAGTATGTTTGGAAAATATGCAGAAACACTTATTCAAAATGGTGTTCCAAACACCAGAAGAAGGCCAGGGATGTAGCTCCAGGAGATCTCTTACCTAGAACGTGGCAGAGCTCTTACCTAGAATGCTCAAGGGCCTGGGTTCAATCACAGCCATGCAAAATATAAATAAACTAAATAAAGACATAAACAGCAGAAGATTCAGTCTCTAAGATAGAAACACTTTCATTAAAGAACAGAGGAAGAGAAAGTAATAAAACCTGAACATGGAAGGTAAATTGATGGAAGAGGAAGTTCCTAAATACAGGTGAATAACACCCCTCGTAAAGGAAGAAAATGCCAGGACTTGAGTCCAGTTTCTCTAGGAGGTCTGGGATCACCTCCTAGCCCACTGAGGCCTTTCCTCCGATTTGTGAGAACAGCAGTACGAGTTGGCTTGAGCCGGGGTAGACCCGTTGGCTGGGCGCCCTCATGGTTGGCTTCACTAATGGAAACTGAGGAGTTAGAAGCAACAAGAAGAAGGCACTAACAAAGAAACACATAAAAAGAGCTCATTGACAGTCAGAGAGACCACCGAGTCTACACCAAGGACTTGGAATAGCAAACAGACAACTTAGTAGCAAACACATTTAGGAAAGAAGGAAGAGCCCTTCCGTTATCTGTTGGTGTGTCTTCCATGAGGGTCCAGTGGAAACAAAGACTCCATTTAGCTGGTCACTGGCTTCCATGTCTTCATCAGCCCTAGGCAACATAGTAGAGAAAAAAAGGTGTCTGAACACCAACTCTTTAGTTTATTAGCTACAGCATAGGAAAGAAAAGCAGGAGAGATGCTAGCAAGGAAGAAGGAAGTAGTTACTTTCCCAAAATACAGTACGAGAAGAAATAAAGCTATAACTTCATTTTCAAATTCTTAAATTTTCATAATTTTTAGTAAAAAGTACTAGTAAAACTTATGTGTTGGGGTGAATTTTTCATTCACTCTGTTTTATCTTTTTCAAACAAAATGTATGCACACTTAATGTATAGAAAAGGAAACTAGAAAAATATGAGGGAGGACTGCAGAGGCATGTGAATCTATATATTCAGAATAAAACAGAGAACCATAGTTATTTTGATATCACTTCCCTATAAGAATAGGACTGCTTGTGTAATTTGATGTCATTGCACAATGACATTGCATTCAGTGACAAAGTCTGAGTGTGCCTTGCTATGACTATGGCTCACAAAAGAGCAGATTAGAAACCTTATAGAGGTAAGGCCAACTTCCTTTAAGAGAATTTGTTGGGAAAGTATTAAATAATGTTGCAGACATCTGTCTGACACCTCCTTGCCCCCCCACAAAAAAATACTGAGAAAAGTAGTCACTATTTTTCTTTCTCTAGAAAGCACATTCTGGTTTCAAACCATGGTAAGTTGTGTTACGGTTTAGAGTTGACCTCAAACATCTTGGTGAAAGAAAGGAAAGTCTTTTGGTCCTTTGTCATGTTTAAGTCACAGAGGGATGACTCTTTTCCATGTCCAGGGAATGATGGCACAATGAAAATAAAATCTCATGTCAAAGAAATATGAAGAAATGGGTCATGAGATCAAAGGGTGGGAATCTGTAAGTAGAATTGCATAGAATCGGATGGTGGCTTTACCTGACGGCATTCACAGACACAGTAACTATCATCTCGTTCCATTATTGGTCTTTCCTTTTACACAACAAAAAAGTTGACATGTGGCTTGCCCTTTATAGGGGTTTAAGAGAAACTGATGACTTCTCAGAAAAGAAAACATACAGACTAAATTTTTATAAAACATTTTCCCCAACTCTCTAATTTTTCTTTGGTAGGAAATTTAAATTGCACTTAAATTCAGTACAATTCTATATAATATCTCACTCAAGAGACTGGTTACTGAGTATGCCTGGTAGGACAGGAGCTGAGTGTCTTAGGAATGGGTAAATGGAGAATTTCCTCTGAATAAGTTTTTGTATAGTTTGAATGTATTTTCAGCTCATTTATATCATCTACTGTTATCTATTCTGTGCTAAATAAATGTTAAATTATTTATTTTTATAAATTCAGTGCTATTCACCAGTTTAACAAATATTTCATGTTGCGTATCTGGCCCTGTGCTATGCAATGGAGAGTCCCTACTCTCTGGTAGTTTAGTGGGAGCAAAGGATGAAAAAATAAGGTGAGAAGGGAATTTACAAGGATCAGAGGTGGTAAATAGAGAAGGTTATAATTAACTCTGAACTTTTTAAATGAGCTAATGTTATGCATACTGTTCTACAGAATATATGGTGTCTTCTTGTGTTAGTACTTTTGAGGTTCTATTTTCTCGTTAACACCTGCATTAGGAACCCCAGATGTGCCATGTTTTAAAAAAAAAAATAGTGTGGCTTTTGAGGAAGGATGGACTTGGATTCATATACTAGTTCTATTTTTTAATAGCCATGTGGTCCTAAAGAAGGCATTTTACCTCTCTGAGCCTTGGTTTCCTCATATGTCATTACAACTATAATATTGACTGCTACAAATAATAGCTAACACTCTCTGATGTGTCAAACTCTGTTGTGTTTTAACTTTATTTAGACATTCCAAAAACCCAGGTGGGGAGGCATTTTTATTACTCTCATTTCACAGATGAGAAAGCTAAATCTCAGACATTTATCCTAGAGTCCATTCAAATCTGTTAGAGCACAAGTTTCTCATTCTTACCCACCACACTGTTCTGGGTGCTGGTCCCTGCTCACAGGGAGTACCCTAGTTTTATTACAGCAGTTAGCTAAATGTCTGCAGTGAATCCTCTACAGGAAAGATAAGGAGGAGATGTTGAATTGGAAGATTTTAGAAGTGTCACACGTGAGACTTGGTGATTGAATGAGAGAGGGTGAAGTACAGGCTGATGTTCTGATTTCTGCCTTGGGTGACCAAGTGGTTGATGGTGCCACCTATGAAGGTAAGAGGGCCAGGGTGCATGCAGATAATGAGTTCTGTTAGGGATCTGTTGAGTTTGGAGGAGGGCTCACTGCGCAATGGTGTCCCCACCATTCTCAGGACTGAACGAGGGTAATACTGTCTTTGGAGTTAAGTGACTTATGGTCAGTGACTCA